TCGACTAGAGCAGCCAAGGCCGGGAGAAGGAACTGCACACGGTCGCTGAGGAGGATGCTCTCGTCGAACACGTTTGTCTTGCTGGGGTCGCGGGATCCGCTTTCCGAAGGTGCCAGCACGACACCCCATTTTGGTAGAGCTGCCAGCGGAGCAGGCGGCACCACCTGGTGAGGACGTAGACTGGTGAGCTCCCCCGGGCGTAGAAGAAGATCCCACTGCAGAAGGAGACCCAGGGCCATGTCCGGCTTGCAGCGCACGAAGAGACAACCCAGGATTGCGGTGAACGCAACACGAGGAGTTGGCAGCCTCATCTGTGGGGGAGCCAAGTTCCTGTAACCCTCTAGAGCTTGTATGGCCCGAGGGAGCATCTTTGAGCCGTGCTTCCCGTAGTCCGGAAACCGGTACCGAAAGGCGGCGAAAGCGTACTCCGCGGCGGACACATCCTCGCCTTGGGCGTACAACTCGTTCAGGTAAGCCGTGAGGAGGTAGTCGAAGCTTTGGGTCATGCTGAAGTGGCCCCGACACCAAAACAGGAAGGTCTCTACGGTGGTGTGGTAGCGCTCCTGCGTTGCCAACCTTCGCACTTTGTTGAGTTCCAGCAGTGAAGGCGCGCCCAGGAGGGTCTGCTCTGTGGCTGCTGCACTGGGTGCCGTGACACGAGGGCGCTTGCAGCTCGTCGCCTGAGGCGGCGAAGTGGCCGTAGGGCGAAGCGTCCGAGTGAACCACACCATTCAGCACATGGGAACGGGGACCATCCTCGCGCGCCGAAGCGGATCTTTTGAGCCAGGGTTCTCGAGAGGGACGATCAGCACAATTGCGCTCAGAGGGAATCCACCTCACATGGAACTTCGAGTCACTTGCAAGGGCGAGGGCACAAAGTTGCTGGCAAGTCCGATTTGTCAGCGAAGTGGATCCCCGTCCTTTAGTACAAGAAAGAAAGTGCCAGGGCAAGGTTATCAACCAACAGTAGATGATGCCGCCCAGCATGCCTTTGAGAGCGGAGAAGGTGCCGCGCCCCAGAAAGCATAGCACGACCTTCCGTTCGAAGGATATTCTCGTGAAACTGCCATCGCCCACTAAAGACAACGTGCCAAGCAGAAGGATCAAGGACAGAGGCACCGACCTCTTTGAACTCAGAGTCCCGGATGCGGGCGCACTCATATTGTGCTTGATCGTCAGCATGGTCGCCGCCTGCACCCAGGGCATTCGAACGAGCTTTTATGGCCCCTTCAACGGCGTAGCGCCACCGCTCACACGATCGCCCAACCTGTGCAACTTGGTCACAGCCGAGGTGCCGTTGACAAACTCCATAACCTATCTCGCTGGCATCAGTTGCAGTCACAACAGGACTCCACGGTAGATCAAGTGAAGTGCACATCAATGGAAGGATGGACGAGGCCTGAACCAGTTCTTGCTGAGCGGCACGCCACAAAAGGCCGTGAGCTTGCTGAGGCCTGCATGAAGGATCGGACTGGCCCTTGAACCGGATGTACTTGTACACTGCGCTGAACACCGAAAGGCACTCCCTTCTGACCATCATTGCAAAAGTGAAGTGACCAACGACCTTCTCAATGACTTTGGCAGGAGGGGGCACCCGCCTGCGTGACAGCGCCAGTGCAGCCAAACGTAGTTTCCAGATCCTGGCCGGGGTCAAAGAAACGCTTCGAGACTCGCCGTCAATCACCAAGCCCAGGCCGTGGACAACAGGCTGGGCCTCGGTAACCTCGTGGATGCTAAAGCCCCAGTCCTCCAAGATGCATTTCATCCGATCAAAAGATTGTTGCACAACCCCCGAGTCAATGCCACTGACGAAGAAATTGTCCACATACTGAGCATGAATGGTCCGCCCGGCCCTCACCTGACCGGTCCAAGTCCGATCCTCAATGCGGTCGGTCTCGAGTAGGCCGGCCTGGGAAGCCGAAGACACTGACAGAAGTACAGGGACCAATTCCAACCCATAGGCAGCGTGCAATACTCGGGTGTGACGAAGTCTTCAGGGCCACAGCCTGTCGGCCACATGCTCTTATCAAGAAAACGGCACTTGAGAGCCGGCAGCCTGAAAAACCGACGGAGGTGACTGGGCAGCTCCATCCTATGGAAGGCATCGGCAACGTCACCCGCCGCGGTGTAAAGAACGTCCCCCTCGGCAACCTCGATGCTGCACCAAGCTGAAGGAGTAGGGAGACGGGAAGAACGGGGCTGGGAAAAGAAGTTGTTGGCCTTCCGGGTGTCCAAGATCAGCCGGAGCTTGCCACTCTTTTTGCGAACGAAGAAAACACCTACAGTATGGTCAAACTTTCCTGGGACAAACTGGAGCATTCGGGATTTGAAAAGGCGGCCGCAAAATCTACCCATATGTACAGGCGAATGCAAAAGCACAGGATCGATGTAAGGCTTCACAGGGTCGCAACCACTCAGAGCATCAGCCTCGGCAAGTAGCTCAGATGCGCCCGCCAGTGACAACAGGTTTCCTGAATCCGAAGCCAGGTGATCAGCAATCCGAACCGGACGGCTCCCCGGCTCCGGCCACGAGACGAGCGCCTCGTCGAAACTGGCAACATTGCACTCGATGTTGTCCAAAGAGTAGACAGACATCGAGCCGAGAAGCGCCTGAAGGGCTTCTTCGGGACGAGACTGCGGAGGAGGGCCGACGCGTCTGTACTTGTGCGCCATGCCATCCAAAGAAGAAGCCTGAGGTCCCACTGGGGCAAAACTCCGAACCTCGTCTTGACCATAAAGGTGATTCAAGGTCTGGACCCCCTCGCGACACCAAGCATCAGAAGCAAGCCTCCGGAGAATTCGTTGGCGGGTCCCCCTGCTGAGGTTCCCGTCCTGGATGCCATTCTCCACCGTGGGCAGCCGCAACGGGAGAAGATCACGCTGCCTGTCCGGAGCCGGCATCTCAACCAACCACAAAACTGAGCCCGAACTGGACGGGCAAGAACCAAAAGAGGCGGGCCCGACGTTTTTTAAAATGAAGCACAACGGCAAGGGCGCGCCGTGGAGCTTCGATCCGATGAGCCCTGGCAGGAAAGTAAACGACCCTCGAGAACTACGCGAGGTGGCCCGGGTCGACGTGGCCACCGCGCGTTGTGAAGCCACCGCAGTGGCAGCTACTTTGGCTTGTTGGCCCGGAGGAGGGCACGTTCCTCCCGGGCCTTTCGCTGCTCCTTGTTCGCCTGGGCCTCCTTATGAAGCTCCTCTCCCAGCCAGGTATTAAGCGCAGGGCAGATGCAAAGGTTGCCTCGGGTGGGGTCGACGCCGAGGAAGAAGTGGGACTCGTCGTCAACCGTCCCACTCGAGTAAGATCCAAGCACCCGGTCCTTCCACCGATATTGGATCATCTGCAAGCGGCGGCAAAGCAACTCCATAGTGGCAAGCTCCCCGATGTTGAGCTGGTCGTACTCAATCGCCAACTCCAAGGCTTTGCAGATGCTCTCGTGCTCGAGGACGCCGTTGTCCGAAGGCTGGAGCTTGCTGTTAACCTTCCAGGCGTTGTGCATGCTGATGGGGCTACCGCCGTTGGTGACAACGTACTGGCCTACCCACTTGGCAGTCCGGGGGCCCTTGATTGGCCAATCGGACCATGTGCTTTCGCTGGCCAGCTCAACCCCATCACGAAGCTCCCGGCGCCTCTTCCCGTCTGTCCCATACCTGAC